TGTGGGTGTTGCAGGAGAGAGTTATTATATGTAGAGTCTAGCTTGGTTTCCGAGATGGCAAGGATGTGAAATAGGCCTTCATTTAGTAATAATTTAACTTCATCAATCTTGTTCCAGATGCTATTAAAGTTTACGTGGGCGATAGACATGTTGTACTTATAATAAGACAGAATGTTCGTCTTGTAATTGGCTATTTCATCCCCTTGAGGTTCGTCCATAGAGTACAGGAAGGAATCAATATAGGTATTAATCGTAGAGTTCAATGTTGTATTTGAGAATGGAAGAACTGATGATAAGCAGGGTGGACAGATCCAGCTAAATTCATCCATCTGTTGGAATTCTCTGTACTGCTTTGGAGTAACATCACCACACTTCATGTGGCACCATGAGTCGCAGTAGTCACAGCTCAACGCTCGATGGTTTCGAGCAACAGTTTTGAGGCAAACAGCGCACTTTTCGGGTCCTGGATTAACACTGATATCACCACTAACAATCAGACGAATTAGGTGAAAACTGTAGTTAGAATTTGAGTGGTAGTTGACTCTTGAAGCAAAGTATCCTTTACCACGAGGGAAGGATCCAAGATGGCGGACATGCTTCCAAAGGCAGGCATACTTATTCAGTGATGGAATTCCTCCTGTGTCGCCAACAGATTTTGACCGGGTGTGTTTTGGACCATTCCAAAAGCCTTTCAGCGTATTTTCACTCACATACGATAAAGTAAGCGCTAGAAAAATCAAAAATAGTCGGGAGCAAGGACAAGCTCGACTTCGAGCCATGCTGACCGCTGACCGATAACTACCTGTATCAATCATGTTAATAACACTTACAAATCCAACCAGTCTTCAGACTCGCTGGAAAAGTATCTCACAGAACTAACCTCGTGCTTTGTCTGGATAACCATCGCTGTTTTTGACAACTCTGAAGGCGAGGGCGACTGAAGAAGTACCAAGATCGCGCTTCGTAACTGGACGGCCAGCCCAAGTCAGCAAACAACACACAACTCCAAACAAAATGACTCCCCTATACCGCTATTTGTTAAGACGTGGTTTTAGTCTTAAAAACCCATTCAAAGGATCAAATATAACAAACAAGGAGAAGTATCCTGCATATTTTCCAACTTTAAACCACGCAAAAGGCCGATGTCTTCATCGAACTCAGTCTAAAAACATATGGA